GTAAGGCTTTTAAATAGGCTCTTAAATGCATTTGACTTGAGACTCTACCTGCTGTGCTGTAGAACACAGCAAGTATGTCCTAAAGTGACACACTGCTGTACAGTGTGATAATGAAGGTCAGACTGAGAAGTAAAAGGAAATACATATCAGGCAAAATCTATTCTGGCAAAGTTTTTATGGAAAAAATGATGAATAACTAAATAACAAAACTATGAACTGCTCATATTCTTTCCTACATTCATTTCAGATTAAAAATACAGCTTTTCAGTTTACAGTGCAACACAGCCTTCAAGTATAGTGACTCTAGTACTAGGAAGTCACAAAACAGATAGAAAACATACAGTAAAGAGTAAAAATGAGTGAGAATTGTCTGCTCACTGTGATAGAGAGAAGCACCCAGTATGGCATTTATCAGAAAGCTCAGTGGTTCTGGATGAGTTTACCATCTTCCCTCCTTCAGAGAAGTGAATAAACTTCTGAATTGAAAAAGCAGCATTTTTCTCTGCAGTTAAAAAAAGCTTTGGCTCCTGAGGAATGAAACTTCAGAGATTACTTTGATAGGCATGGGCAGCAGTTTTGTGTACAGCAGCAAACTCTCACCTGGAAATGTGCTGAGAAATCAAAACTTCCTCATGGTGAAAACTCAAATGGCAATAGAGCTCTTTTTTACTGAGATCTAAATGTCTACAAACTGCCTTAGTTTAAGGAGAAAGGATGACAAAAACAGAAAATTGTTTCTACCTTATTGGAGGGTTTGGGTTTTGCAAAGATGCCAGCATCTTTCAGTAGTTTTTCTTTCTTGAATTCTTCTTGTTTGCGGAAGAGCTCTGCTTTGAGATCTACCAACTGCATCATCAGCAAAAGGAACAAACACATTGCCAACCATCAGTGACTGGAAATAATTATTCCTCTATGTAGTAAAATAATCTACTATTAACAGCTATGCGAGCATTGAATTGCAGTTATATGTGGACCCAAAAAGCAGCGATCTGATCGAGAAGGTCACTGCTAAGCTTGCAGCACTCACGGCAAGCAGAGCTGTGCGTGCACTTCCCACGACAGAGCCGTGGGCAGCAGGCCGGCACACAAACAGACGCCTCCCTGCCGCGCCCTCACTTCACAGCGCGCCCGGACACGATGAGACTCCAGGCCCTTTAACCGGCCCTGGCTCAGCGCACCGCGGGCCCAGCAAGGAGCCCAGTAGAGCTGCCCGGCTGGGCCTCGCACCACCGAGCCCCACTTGTAAGCCGACCACAGGCGCTGCTGCGGATGCTGCCGCTCCTTTTCTCTGCTTCCCAGCCGCGGCAGAGCTTGCTCGCTTACCGAGGAGGCGGCCACGTCCAGCGGCTTCTTCTTCCGGTCCATGGCGGCCTGAGCTCCCCGGCAACCTCCCGCCGGCCGCTTCCGTCCCTGCTTTGCGGCGACGCCGTAAAGCGCGGCGAGGTCGTAAAGTGCGGCGCTATTACGACAGCGCTGGTACGGGCTGATGGGTCCTTCCCTGCCGCTTTGCTGGACGGAAGGGGGGATGGAGTCTGCGTGGCGTAGGTGCTGAGTTTAGGGCCGCGCAAGGAAGGATTGTGGGGGGTTGCATAGCAAAAGTGACTTCAGTTCTGGTTTAGTTGGTGAGTGACTGCTAGAGAGCAGAAATGCTGCTTGTTGGTGGATTTAGCATTGTAACCGCTGCCTTGCTTGAAGCTGTGCTGAGCTGAATTGCGGTGGTTGTCGTTGGATCTCGTGGGTCAGTGCTGAGGGATGTGAGCTGATGAGGGCTGAGCCCTGTCCATAACGCCCCAATACAAACCCACCTGCATGTGCTGGAGCCTCGCAGATGAGCGGAGGCTGGTCTCGGAGATTTGCTGCTGTGCCTTCCCTGGGTAGCTTGTTATCTGCTTTATCCTCTCTGTGAGATAAAAGGATTGGCTGATATGTTTTAATTTCGGAGTGATTCAGATCATAATTATCCAGAGTTACAAGGGGAAGCTGCCTTTCACTTGTCTTCAATAAAGTGGTTAAATATACAGTGCTCTGATGTTGTTGCTTGGCAGTGTGACAGCTGATAGAAATGTCTCGATGCAGTTCTTTGGCTTTTTGAAATGTGCTGCTTTTGTGTTTGGAAAGCTGGATCTGGCCCATGCTTGAGTAGTTCATTGGCACAGAATTGCAGATTACTGACACGCATACTCAATAGCTAAAGTAGTTACACCTGTATGCCCATGAGTATTAAAGAGGTAGTTCAGAAAAAGCTGTTTGTGGCCTTAGTGAAGCGACTTCCTTTTGGCTTCTTGAAATAAGGAGAAATGATAGGAGACGACATCTCCAGAGAAGGGTAGCTCATGTTAGAGCAACAAGAATTCCTGTTTCAATTTGCAGTGTAAGAAGAGACATGAGCACTGCTGATAAATAGAACAAAGGAATGAAAACATCTGTGCTGTTCTAGTTAAATCTCACTCCAACAAACCATATGAAGTGCCTTTACAAACCTCACCTAGTGACAATACTGAGAAGAAGAAAAACAAACAAAAAAAACAACAACAAAACAGCTCAAACCCAACCCAGGCTTGATTCTGATTTAGTAATTTCTGACTTTTATCTTTTTCTCCTTGAAGTTCATGGATTCTCCTCCATGTTGCTCATACTCCACATTATAGTGATAGGACTTGCTTGCTCATCCTTCTGAACTGCCAGTGCTGTCGGTGCTAAGTACTGTCAGGAGCTCAAGAGCCTCTTTATCCTGAGAGTCTCATAATGTGAAGTGTTCCTGAAGAGCTGATAGTCAGACTTGGACCTGTATATGCCCTTGTAACTGCAGACGCAAAAACATTTTGAGAAATCTTGACTTCTTCAAAACTTGACTTGTAGGGTGTTGTGACTGTTTCCTAAGCTTAGTGTCTGAGGCTCTAGAATCTTACATGAATGGTTTTAGAAATATGATATTGAATAGCTGTGTGGGTACTTCAGTACTTCTTTGTCTTTTCTGACTGAAAGGAAAGATGATTCAAATGCTGAATCAGGCCACTACTCTAGGAGCCACTCCTATCTTGCTGTCATCTGTCCTGTTCTTAGGTCTGGAATCAGACCTTATTGCTTGGCACAGCCCATGGCTCCTCTAAGGCAGCTCCTTGCTGTCTTCTTTCCTTGCTGCTTTGTTTTTCCTCTATGATCTGCCCATATCTTTTCATTGCTTGTTGCACCATTCTGATGTTCAATTCTTACAAGAAAACCATCTGTTTCTAGTGTTAAAAATGTGAGTTTGCAAACTTGGAAAAAGAAAAAACATCTTCAACGTATTTCTTCCTTCCTTGACACTATTTATGTTTACCTGTCCAAACTGCACTGGAGCAGCATTCTTCCTGCTTTGAGTGTTGTATAAAATGTCTCAGCAATATCTCAGCAGCTCTCTACGTCACAGATATTATGCAGGTGGTTCTAGTGAATGCGCAAAGATAGTAAGGCTCTGGAGGTGACTGCATCTGTCTAAAACTGATCCTTTCTGTTCAGTGGCATGGCCAGGATTGCAGGGAAAGTCTGTGCTACTGAATGGTTATGTGACTGAATGTGAAAAAAAAAATTACTCTTAAAAGATGAAGGCCAGCACATGTAGAATGAGACACACAGAGCTGGTGATTCTGTGCTTGCAAGAAACAAGTGATTCTGTGGGTAGTAAAGCTCTACCTGGACATGCCTGACTCAGAATGAGTCAATCGGTGCCATTGATGCTTTGTACAAAGGATGAGCTCAAGCTATGAGGAACTGTAACTTCCATTCTTCCTCAGTTAACATCAGCAAGGCCAGTAGGCAGGAACAGAGGCACATGCAGTGCTGCTCTCCCACTTGCCTCCTAGAAACACGGGGCTGCTCTGTGTGCTGCTGTGCTTGCCTATGTGTGGGACTTGGCATCAGTGTGCATCCAGGCACGTGGCTTTCAGAGCGCTTACTAAGCATTGGTTCGGTAGTTCTGAGAGCTGAGAAGTTTTTGCATCTGTAGCTCCCTCAGAAAGGCTCAGTGTTGGCTCTAATTTGTAGAAGGCTGATCTGGGGATTCTTTTTAATCCAGCCAACAGGCATTAATAAAATGTGAATGAGAGGGGGGAGCTGGAATAAGAACATTTCCAGGGTGGGAAGCAAAACCAGCTTAACCTAAAGAAGGGAGGTGAGGAAGCAGGGTAACTATGTGTATAATACAGATTCAGTGTAGTTGTGTGATGCTTGTGTCTTAGAGGGAATCAGTGAATGCTGTATAAGCTACTGTGTCTGATCTAAGACTGCTGATAGCCTTGAATTCCTGGGGAATAATTGATTCAGCTCTTCTTGTTAGTATGCTGCTCATTTTAGCACGAGGCTTAATTGTATTTACTTCCACAAAGCTGCATCAACACAAAAAGCTTGTTTATTGTTGTTGAGAAAGATGGGGGATCACAGCAGTTCGTTTGAAGGGGATTTTGTTTGAAACAGTGGCATCTCAGCAACTTGCAAGATTAGTGAGAGATGTTGCACAAACTCAAAACAAATTACTTGGAAATTTTGGGTGTGGGCTTTCCCTGTACAAAAAAAAAAAAGGATTTAAATAGGAATCCAATGTGGGAATACGAGAGAGACTATTCAGAACAGGCACTGTAGAGCAAGACAAACAGCATGTGAAAGGCTGAGAACCAGTGTTACCTCTAGAAGAGAAAAGCAGAAGGAATGGCTCTGCTTGGATAAGTGCCTGCATGCACGGTTAGGAAGTGTTTGTGGATACTTCGTTGATGGGAAAGTTAGTTTTCCCATCTGCCTATACAAAAAAGAAAACTTGTGAATATATAAGGTGATGTGAGAACCTGTAACAAACAATTTGGATCATTCACATCTGAGTCTGTGCCTGGTTGCCACAATCCAAGATTAAATTATGTTGATGTCTGGGGGATTTGCTGTTCTGAGACAGATTTGCTTATCATAGATACTAAGAACATCAAAGCCCTGGGGTAGGATGAAACCTGACTTACTTTCTGCATCTTGGCTTTAAGATGAAATAAAAATGTGGGAAGTAACAGTTGGATATTTGTGATATGTTGGTGCTAGCACACTGTCTTTATGCATTTTCATAGCCACTTGACACAAGGAACATAACTCAAGGAACACAGGAAACAAGAAACCTGAAAAGTGACCTAAGTTTTTTGTATTCTAGCATTGTATTTATGGAAATGCTGAGTTGGTGCAGCAAAAAGGAACAGGTGGAGGGAACATGAAACAAACCCAAAACTTTGCTGCTCATAAATCTAGATGCGCATTGTGGATTAGTTGTATGTGGGTTAGGAGAAGAATTTTAATGCTTTGATTAAATGCTTGAAGTTTTTGTGTGATCCTGGACAGAAAATCAAAGGCATAAATGGTGCGTAATAATAGTGCTTGTAATGTCTCCCTGGTACACACAGAGCTCTACTGCTCTTTGCTTCTTGTGTCACAAGCTGCAGTGCCAGCCTGCTTTTGTGCTAGCTTATTTTTCTTGCAAGCTACAAAATAGGTATAGAATACAATTCTGGCTGGATAATGAGAAATTGAAATCATGTCTAAAGTAGCCTCTTATAAAATGCCAGTTCCATAGAATAAGGTGCTCATTTGTGTTTAGTGTCAACAACATCTTTTCTTCTCAAGTATTATGAGAAAGGGAGTAGAGTACCACTACTTGGGAACAGATTGTAATTCTTCTGATGCAGCCAGAAAAAAGGGATTCCCTAAAAGCAGATAACAACTTAGATCAGAAATAGGCTTAATGCCATCTTTCCACAGCATGTGGGAGGGCCATAGTTATTGCAAGTGAAATGAATTTAGAAAGCTGTTATTGATGACTGGTGCTTTTATATACATTTTAGCAAGCTTTGAGAATGGACATAATGATGATTCCTTCTTCAGGGAATGTGTAAATGCTCTTAAATCTGAAAAATAAGAAAAAGTTTGAGTGCCAGTTCAGAAGGTGAACATGTTTCTCATTATTTCCTGTACCAAGAGATACAAATTGTCTGAACTAGTGATGTACAAAGCAAGATAGTTCCAAAGAAAACTTAGCCCATTGGTTACATTGGGAGTGGGCAGGGTGATAGGTTCATTCCCTGAAAAGGAGCTTGAACCTATTGGAATAGAATTGTGCTGTGAATGTTTTGTTGTTTGTAGTTTCTACGCAGCTGTCATAAAAGACAAACTTGCCCTTTAAGGAACTGCTCAGTTCCTTGAGGTTTACCCATTCATCTGTCCACTCTTCTCTTGCCATCTGCTTCTTTCACTGTGGTCATGTGAAGTTGCTCCATCCCTGCAGCAAGATGCAGCCTGGATGGTTTGCAATCAGGCTTTCGCATGAAGTTTTCCTGTCTTTGCAAGCACAGATGAGCTTGCTGCCTTATCAAGGCACAGCCCTGTAAAGAAGCTGGATTTTCTATTCCAGCTGCACATCTGCAAGCCCTTTCAGGAGGCTACAGACTTATTTCTTTCTTGCTGGGTCTGGGATGCCGAGCTGGAGGAAGAGCCTTGCTTTTTGTCTGCAGAGAATGCAGGATGGAGGTAAGGCAAGAGGGGAATATGATGGGGGGGCTGTGATCTAGGATGCTCACAGAAATTAGGCTCAATGCTGCTGCTTCCCACTGATGCTGCTGGAATCCCCAAAACATTTGACCAGATATTTAAAGCAAACAAAAAAACCCAACAGTATAATTTTGCCCTTTGGAAGCAGATCTTCTCCTTACAATCTATTTCTCTTTGAAAGCACTGTTCCAGATATCTATGAAGATGCTGTTAGTAATTCATGCCTGCTCTGCTTACAGCCCTGCCTGTACTCTGAGCTTGGGCTGGCAGACGTAGCTTTGTACAGTGCTAAGGCTGTGTGTTCCTTAAAGGGTCGCTATGAGAGCATAACATTTGGAGTCTTAGAAGATTGCATACCTGCTTCATGCTCTGTTTTTCTTCTTTTAAAGAAATCTCTGGTTATTGATCATGCCAGGTAGACAGACACATGTACATTGTGGCTGTAACTTTCTGCAGAGGCTGCTTTCTAGCTCTTAGTTGAAACCCTGTTATTTATGTTCATTTAGTGTCAGGGTGATAGTGTAACCCATATTTATGTCACCTTCACTGCCTGTGAAATGATTCTGTTTATATGCCATGGTTTGAGTTGAATTATTTTAAACCAACAGGGTTGTAGCAGCTAATTCTGGTATTCTGACTTGGCATGGTGGCAGGAATATGTACTACAGGGCCTAGCACCCCTTCAGAACCCTTTGTGGTTACGGCGGGTCTAATTCCTGACACTGAGCAGGAGGCAGGCTGGTGTAATTGAGCAGACTGTAGCTCTGCTTGTGATTTCCTAACGCATGGGAATGATTAAATCTGCATACTCGAATATACAATGGCATACAATCATTTCTACCTTGATGCATTGGAGAGACTCAAATCAGCGTAATTGAGCATGGGTTTTTTCCAGCACAGGGGCCTTGGTTACCTAGCAGTTATCTACCACATGCCTGCCTGGATGGCTGAGTGGCAGCTATGGCTTTTTGTTTTGAAAAAACAAAGCTACTCTATATGTATTCCTTCTTTAATATTCTGGCGGTGGAAAGCTGCTGCTGGATGTCCTAAAATCATAGGACTTCATTTTACACTGCAGCTAAAAACTTTGATTCATTCTAGTTCAAATTCCTCTTTATTTTAACACTTCAATTTATCTGCAATGAAGTGCTCTTTCACCATCTGTCACCCTGAGTTTCCCAATAAACACAGGGTGGAAGTGGTACATTGTCTTTCTGGTTGTGTATGTTTGAAGAGATGCTCAAAAGGAGATGCAGGAAAATCTTCCTAGTACAAAGAACCTGTGTCTATGGACGAAAGAGAGCTGAGGATGGCTCCCTCTCAGCAGCAAGTCCCAGCGGTGAATTGCTTGTGCTGGCAGCTGGATCGCAGCGCAGCAGAGGGCAGTACAAGACTATTGTTGCAGCCACGTAGCTCATTTCTCCTGTGGTACTGTGAGCACTTTGCAGAAGTAACCTTCCATAAATGTCCATCTCCCCCCTGCAATTCTGTCATCTCTCCAGCATTTGAGGAACAAATTGTCTGCCTCTCCCCATTCTTTCAGTCACACATGTGAAAAGTAGTGTGAGGAAACAGGCCTGCTCTGGTGGTGGCACATCCTGGGTTCCGTAGCCATAAGCGTGCATTGAAAATGGCACATGCGGAGTGCCATAGCCATAAGGCTGCATAGGTGGCATCATATGCGGGGTGCCATAGCCATAAGGCTGCATTGGTGGCATCATATGCGGAGCGCCATAGCCATAAGGCTGCATTGGTGGCATCATATGTGGAGCGCCATAGCCATAAGGCTGCATTGGTGGCAGCATGTTCTGAGCACCACAGATGTAGGGTTGTGCTGACGGCAGCCCATCCTGCTCATCATTGCTGTCAGTCTCCGCTGATGTTGATCCATCTTCAGCATCACTGTCTGAGGCCTCTGCTGGTGCTGGCCCACCTTGAACATTGTTGCTATATGCTTGCACAGATGGTGGCACAACTTCAGCTCTGTGGGTACTGGCCTGCACTGATAACTTCTTTTGGTCCTCTGATATTTCTGGTTCTGTTTTTCCAGGAGAGGTTTCAGGACTGTTCAAATTCTGGCTGCTGTAACTATCATCCTTCTTTTGCCCCAGAAAGTAATCAGAAGGTGGTGCAAATTCAGGATCTCGCTCATCTCTGAGTTCTTCCTGCTTCTTCGACCATTGTCCAAACATCAACTCTGTTAGAACGAGGGAAAACAGTAGCTTAAATATTGATTTCAGTGAGAAGAGAGGAAACAAAGAAACAGAAGATGCAGTTCTTAAAGCCACCTGAAGTTACTTTCACGTAGTCTATCACTGGCTAACATGACTTCAGTAAGAAGTTAATTAGAAAATTTTAGTACAGTAAGACTACATATTTGTCCAATGTAGGAAAACAGAGCAGAATTCCCATTGCTCCAGTAGAAATAAAAAATACGAAATAGCAAGGAGAAAAGCATCAAGAGAGTGAGGAACTTTGTTTACCCTTTCTTTCCTTACCTTTGCCTTTATCCCACTCACGGACATAAGGCACGCCAGGCTTTGTATCTCTTCTCTCCTGGATGACAACTTCTACCTTTCTGCTTGGTCTTGGAACTTCAGGTTCAGCTTGTACTGGACTGGTGGTGTCTTTCACCTCTACTTTGCAGGAGAGAACATTTTTTTGTTACTGATAGGATACAATCTCTTAAATGAATTTCATAGGCAGAATAGGAAGAAACGCTATATAGAGTTATATGTAGTGAGCTTACAGTAGCCATCTAATTTCATTCTAACAATGAAATGAACCCTAGTAGCGAGGCATTTATCTTTTAATTCTTTCATGTTAGTTCAGAGGAGTTAATGGGGAAGCCAGATAGTGAGGCAGCATACTTCACGAGTTTTCTAGTTGTATCAAGACTGCTGAAAAAAAAAAAATCAATTGTCTAATAGCCCAAAAAGCAATGTGCTGAGTATTATACTGACACTAGAGAATTGTTAAAAAGAAGAACATGAGTATGCATCTCCACTTCAGCAATCCTAGAGAGGAACAGTTTCATTCTTTTTCTTCTGAACAACAGTAACAGTTGCAGCAGCACATTACTGTTCATCATTTCCAAAATGCTTCACAGTTAATGGCTTGGCTAGACTTCTGACAAGTTAAATATTAGCTACAATAGAAGACAGGACAAGTGAGTAGTAGTGTCGTAAGAGAGACAAGGCAGAGATGGGATTAGAACTCAAATTCATCATCTCAAGTCCTGCTTACAGACAGGACTGAAACTCTGAGTCAATATATAATATTGAAATCTTGCTAATATTCTTCTCACTTATCTTAAAAGCCAACCAGTACAATTTCAGCAACTCCGCCATGCTTCATTAACCTGCACAACTCCTGCTGTCAAGCATGACTGATTCAAAAAGAATCAGTCCATGCATGACATCCCACCTTTCTTCCTGCATTATCAAGCTATTTCTGGCACAATTTTATATCCTCACTGTACGGAAACTGTTGATCACAGCCTGAACCTCTGATTGACCACCTGAGGCAAGCAGTGAGTCATTTGCAGGAACACAGGTGAAGGCAAATCACCTGTGCTACCAGACGGGGTGGAGACTGGCCCCATCTCTCCTAGATCCCATTTAAGGCTGACTGCCACTGAGGAAGGATCTCCTTCTGGAGATCACTCCTTGTGGAGTTTACTGCAAGCACATGACACTGGTGAGCATTTCCATTTATTGTATCTTTCCACCGTGATAATCTTACTAAGCCTTACCTCTGCATACCTATTGATTGTACACCTATTGATTGTACATTCACATAATTATATGAATTCTCATATTTTAACTTATATTAATTGTGTATATAGAGTATATAATACCTATGTCTTAAATCTCCAAGCCTGTACCAGTTGTATGCCCACCCATTGGTCAGGTACAAGATGGCACAGCAACTTTTGATCTTAAAAATACAAATATTCATACCTCCATTCTCCAGTTTTTCTGCCTCTTCTTCTAATCCTTCTTCCCTTAACTTCTTCACTTTCCGTGCTCGAAGTTTAGACAGCCTTGATTCTAGAGCTGCCTTCCTTTTTTCTTTTAACTGTTCACGTTTAGTTCTTTGATCCAGTGTCTTAACAGTAAAGAAAAACATGAATTAACATTCCTGTGTTACTATAATCAACTACATATCTTCCTTTGCTGAAGGAAAGAAAGCAACACGTTTCAACAGAGAAAAGGAGACAATTTTGAGTCAAATGCAGGCATCACTGAGCATAAGACAAAAAAAAACCCAAACCATCAAGTCAGGAGGCTGCCATACCTGCTCTCTTAGCATATCCAGTGTTGCCCGTTGTTTATGCCTAAGATCCTGGTCACGAGAGAAGGCAAAGTAACCAACACCAAGCTGTCTGGCCTCTGAGAAGAAAAAGTCAAAGTTATCCTCAGTTTACTGATAGGATACAGGCACTGAATTACAACATACACCACTATCTTTTTTTTTTTTTAAATGTGTAAAATAGGCTTAGTTAGATGAGGTAGGAAGTGAAGCCTCCTGAAGGAGAGAAAAAACAATTTACTGAAAAACAGGTCTAGAAGAATGTCCCAGTAGTTTGAATAGTTAATACAAACATGGTTTAACATACATGTGAAGTCTGCCACATGGGCAACAAGAAGTACCTTTCCCTTGCTTCCTCTAAAGTTAATCTGTGTGAAGATAAGTGACACAAAGCATGAAGCATACCATTTTCTCGAATATCCTCATAATGAATGGGCCCCATGGGTTTTCGGAGGGCTTCTTCTTCTTCTTTTTCCCACTGCTGCCTCTGAAGTTCTCTTTTCATATCTTCAGATAACAGTGTATTCCCATCAGGGTCCAGTCTAATTTAAAAAAAAAAGAAAAGTGGGGGGAATTAGGGAGAACAAAGTTATTGGTTCCATGGTATGTTACATCAGTTATGATTGGGTCCAACCCACTCCTGCAGCTTTTACAGAATAGATCACAGTAGGCACTACTTAGAAATTATACAATGATGAGTATGGCAAGGTACCAGTAGAACATGTTATTAAAACAGTTAAAGTTCTATCCTTTCTCTGAGGCTTTATCAAATCCTAATCAAACACAGAATGGCTGATGAAATGTTAGATGTTCACTCTTACTGTCATCTGTTTGGATATTAGCAACCACATATAGAAGTATCTCAAAGTTGACGTAAGAAGATGAAAGCCATTTGAGATAGCACAAAGCCAATCAGTTACCCTAGAAGCCAATTAGTACTCAGCACAGGAAATATTTGTTTTCTTAAGGGAAGCAGCAACATTTCTCACTTTTTGTCTAGCTAAAGCAAGCTTTGCTGATAGATGCTCATCCATATCAATCCAGAGGCTATAATTTCAAAACACTCCTATTCTCTTTTTATTTTAAACACTAATAAGCTGCTGGTGTGAAAGTATCTTCACTTCAGCAGCTCTGCTGAGGTACCCTTAGATTATATTCTGAAAACAACTCCGTGCTGCCATAATAATTTTAATAGGAAAAAACAACCAGTTAAAGTGCCATTTAACAAAAGCAAAATCAATAGAGATCTAACAAAGTTGCATTTGCTGAAGGACTACGATCAGTCTTCAGGTTTTTTGGAACCAGGAATCACTTCTCTGGCATTTTCTGGAAGCTGTAATAAACCACAATTAGCTTACATGGACCACAGTTTTAAAAGATGCATCAAGTATCTGAGAAATTGCTAAATCTGTTTATTAGAACTCTTTTCTACAAACTACATAAGCAAGGTTATCAAAAATATCATTTATGCTTTTATTTCATATCCTCTATTATAACAGGCCTCTATTCCCTTGCAATTTAAGAACACCACACCAGCCACATCATTCGAATAGTCAGCTGCCAAGGAATACTTGGCAGACTGTCTGAATTTATAATAGAAAACACTGATAAAACTATTGTCATGTACAATTTCTGTGTGGCTACTCTGGCTGTTTCTTAAGGCATAATGCAGAAACCAGCAGAAGCTGGCCTAGAGCAAACCTAGAGAAAGCAGTAGATTAAACAACTCTGGATTAAGAATAGGTAATACCTTTTCCCTTGAAGTTCCTGATCCATTTTAAGTATACTTGGTAAATCCTTCTTCATACAGCGTCTAGATCGGCCCAAGGAATCAACATAATCAACCCTGTAATGAAAGCAAAGGACATTTCATACAAAACTTCTGCTTGCAGGCTTACAAACAATAGCAGCAGTGACATTTTCCAAAAAGCATCTGACATCTCTCAGACTCTCTATACATGTTAATTGAAAGGTAGAAGAAACTGTCAGACTCCCACGGTCACATTCTGGACAGGCCACGTGACAGTTTTACAGAGACATTTACTCAATCTCCCTTTGAGCCATCTGCTTTGATAACAAGGTGGTGTAAAGAGACATTCAGAAGTTAAAACATCATCTAATTTTCACACCAAATAAAACTAGTTCTAATACTTGCTTCCTGTGGTGGAAATAATGGCACAGCATTGACTTCTTACAGATATGAAACTGCTACAATATACTTCAATTAATCTAAAGCCCATTTAGAAGAGCTTGATAGTGTTCATTCAACATGCGTAACAAAGGCTGACTAAAATGCAAGCAAAGCGTTCCTCTGAAGCATATAACATGCTTCTTAGCAACTCTTCATAGCACCAAACACTTAATTTGCAGTTGTCACCAAAGCTGATAAAGTGCTATACTGTTCAATGCTGCTAAGAGCTATCTGGCATCATGCTGCTTCTATTATCCCAAGTTAGAGAATTAACATTACAGATGAAAGCATAGGATTGACAACCTAGTTTCCCCAAACCAAATTTTAAGGGATCTGTACTTTTGCTAAGTTCATCATTGGATCACTGATGGTTCCATCTCAAATCTCAGTATGATACCAGTAGCACTATACATTATCTGCCCTTCCAGCCTAGCGTTTTATTCTGGAAAATTATACTACCAATCTTACTGTGGCCTAAAAGCCACAGTGCTCTTTTTCATATTGTTTATTGCTGTTTTAAATGATTACCACAATTAAAATCTTTGTTCCATAAGCATTCTTCATATGTTGATAAAGAAAACATTTAGTCAAACCAGTTTCGTAACTTCCATAAGCCATTAAAGAAGAGAGGCTACTGCAACACATCTCATTTGTAATACATTTCCCTCACCAGTATTTCTCAAAATCCTGGAGGTGGATTCTATTGTAGTGTTGCCTTTGTGATAACACGAAGTATTGTCTCTTAATAAGACATGAAACAGAAAGAACCTCTTCTCTATAGTATTAACTAAAAACAAACCAACAAAAACCCAACAACTGTCACTGCACATGTTCCATAGAATGGAATTCTTTTCTCATGCAATTGCCAAGCCTCAGCAGCCCACTCAGCAGTACCAACCATTCTTCATCTGGGTCCTCTGGTGGTGGTATTTCCATTTCTGGTTCAATTTCCTCATCATCTGTCTCTTTTTCTAAAGTCTTTCTAGCAGCTTCATTCTGATACAGTTCCTGTACTTCTCGCTGTTTGTCTATGATCTTCTGAGTGAAATCCACTAGGTACAAATCTTCAGTTTCTTCATCTAAGGCAGAAAATCAATTCGTAGAGAAGAACCACAAAGAGAACAGAACTCAACACAAAAATCAATACATACATCACAGGCACAATCAGCTCCGCAGCTGCCAGCAATGCCCCTGACCAAACCATTGGTAATACCTACATCTCACCTCGAGTCAAACAAACTTGGAGCTGTAAGCTGGCTCCACAACGATAACATCTATTTGTGAATACAACTTGTATGCTTTTTAAAACCAATTAATTATTTATGTGTGGAACACTGAAAAGGTATCCCTCTCCACACTAAAGTATTCTATGTTCATTAATTATTTCAAAGGGTTTGTTACACAACAGTAAAAATACTTAGAATCACAGAATCTCTAAGGTTGGAAAAGACCCACAGGATTACCCAGTCTGACCATCCACTGATCACCAATAGCTCTCACTAAACTAAATCACCACTTATTTGATTCTTAGCATTTCCTGTGTTAGCAGAAGACAGTCACTAGAGTACTTTTTTTGAAAAGTGGAGAACAGTGATGATGTCACACGTGGCAAAGTTGGGACACTAAAGGAAACATTAGATATGAATTGCAAAGACATGTGGATTCTGGTCTAATAATTATTTCTTGCAAGCAACTGAATATGTGAAAAAAGAAAGGGACAGATTAGGATTCTCTAACTCTATTATCTGCATGACACATTGCTGCTCTTCTCTTCATAAATCCCAAGAATTAGAATGCAGGACAGAAAAACAGCAATGAAATGCAAAGACTGCATAATGGAGAATACATTATTTTTTTAAGTTTCTATATTGAAAAAACAAAATACATTCCACCCACTTAATGACTAACTGAATGAAACAAGCTCATGGTGATTTACTAGGACAAACTGTCCTTCAAAAAGTAATTTCATATTTTCTAGTACTTACATGATTTTCTCTTTGATAGCAAAATAGCCCTTGTCAATCACTTTGTATAACAGCTCCAAAAAAACCACTTCTAAGTAAGACGACAAGCAGGGAATTTACATTGCTGTAAGCCACAGTGATAGGCCAATCCTTAGGGTGAATTTTGAAAACAAGTTCCTATCTCTATCCTTAAATATACTACATTGATTAATAGTAAACATTGTAAAAAAAATAATTCAGTTTTAAATCAAAACAAAAAAGTAATTATTTAAATTTATCTTATATATAAGCACACACATAACTACTTATTTTAGATTAGCTTTGTTTACCTGGGAAATCGCCTTTTGTCATCTTCTCATACAGCTTTGCTTTCTCTTCAAGTTTCTTTCTGAGAAACAAACAAACAGACTTGTAATTTCACTAATTCCAAACACCATAACAAACTATTTATGCTTAGGTAAATGAGAAAAGTAATGCTAAGAACACTTGAAATATCTACTAAAAGCAGAGTACTATCTGTTGTTTTTTTCTTAAATTTTAACTGACATTTCTGAAGAAACACAGATATCCTATTCCAGAGTTTATACTGAAAAATAAACTGAAATCACAGCTGAAGTTACAGAGTTAGTCTTCAGTGTAACATACTGAGAAGGCAGGGATACAAAGTCACTAGTATTCTACCTCCACACAACTATTGTGGTTGGTCAGATAAATACTAGAAAACTACTTACAGGTGTGAGATAGTGAAAAAAATAAGTAAGAAAAACTCAAAAAAGATATAACAGTGTTACAGTCAGAAAGATTGATGCAGTGGAAGGGTGATACAAGAGTGTAACAGCAAAGGGACTGCCACAGAGAGGATGGTATTCCGAAAGAAAAGTAAAGGTACCCCACCTCTAAAGCTCTAGGCTCACAGGAAAGACTCTAAGAGGGAGAGATCTCCAACCAGAGATCCTTTCCCCAAACGGTCAGCCCTTTGGTGAAGGTCTAAGGGAGGTATAACCAGGCTCCACTCCTTCCTGTTACGCAGCTGAATTGCCTTCACCTGTGCTCAATCAGTGGTTCAGGCTGTGACTCAGCAGTTATAATACAAACATGATTTTTTTTTTTTAATTGAAAACTCTAGCTGATTTCTGGAACAGTAGAAACCAATTCTGAAGAACTAGAATCCACTTATAGAACAACAGCACATTGATTATAAATTGTATATTCATCTGTAATGGAAATGCTAAATTACGGCCTGAAGCAGTGATTGAGCACCTGGTGGGAAGGCAGGGCCAACCTACGGGAGCTCAGGTGCATGCAATGGCGCTGAGTGACTGGAAGGGGTGGAGACAGGATCCAGCCCTTCCCAGCCCTCATTTATCAGTTAGCAGTGGAGCTAAGGATATTTTTCTAGAGATCCTTGCATACTGAAGGGCTTCCAAAGGTAAGCAGTTTTTTCTAGTGTCTGCTACAGGATTTGGGATTGTTCTCATTTGTTACAGCCTAGGATTATGCTACCCTACTACTATTGCTCTATTTTCCATTGTATACTTTACTGTATAGCTAAGTCATTTAGAGGACAAACCAAATCTACAGAGCCATCTTTTGTTAGTCCAAGAAATGGTTTGCGATGTGACTTCTAAAGCATCACTGCTCTGGATTTCACTTCTAAAGATGATACTTAAATCTCAGCAGCCTTATACATTTAGATAGTTGTGATGATGTACAGGCAGATGTCTTTAGAGCATAAGAGATCTTTGCTACAGTCTGTACATTGCTCCTATAGAGCATGGGACTGATGCCTGTTGATCTGATGAGAACTGCTCATCTAGAATGCATGTAAGTTTTGATGTAGAATTTGTTTTTCAGTACTTAAAAATAATACAAAACATTCCTTTCTTCTAGAACTTAAGAATTACCTTGATTGATCTAAGGTTTGATCCTCTTCTATCT